ACTGAGTGGTCCGCCATATTTGCATTCGGTGTATGATTCATCGCCCCCTAGATTTTTTACTCCTAGGAGCCTGACATAAGCTGGGATATTGATAGTCTACAAATCCACAACTTACAACAAACATCGGATCGGAAAGACTGATCTGAAAATGTCGGTTTTCCAGCGAGCTATTATTCGTTGACAATACACGAAGGACAATTTTAATTGGAAATAACAACCGCTGACCAAATCGTGTTCGTTGTTTTGCCCTGACTTCATGTTTTGCCGTGACCAAATTTCTTTTGCCATAAATCAGTTTGTGTTGCCGTCATATATCCTTGTCTTCCTGTGAGTCATTTTCTTTTAACCAGGTACTAAGTTTGTTTTGCCGTGCCGTTTTGTTTTGCAGTGAAAAATTGCGGGCTACCGTAGGTTGCGTGACAGTATCACGCTCAGGCTGCAAATTTGAAAATGCAGCGTCACCGGGGTCGAATATCAAAATAAATCTATTTCGGAAGGCAATCATTTGACAGAATGCGAAGTTCTTAAATCAAACGTCTCTGGGTTTTTTCCAAACTTCTGAACTAAAACGTACACAAGTTTTATAGTACAACTCTTCGAGAAGAGAGAAAGAACTTCCGCAGTCAAGTTGAGGCAAAATCGAATCCATCATGGACATTTACGTGGACTACAGCTGCGAAGACAACAACGAAACAGGTAGAACCAAGCTTACTGTTGCTGACTTTGATACCACAAACATCAGAGATATAAAGTACGCTATTCAGGCCGCCATTCAAGCACCAGTTTGCGATCAACAACTGTTTTATCAGGGACAACCGGTAACAGACGATGACATGACTCTCAGCAGATTGTATTTCCGGGAGGGTGACTGTTTCAATGTGCAATTTCTTGCTGCAGCGAACATTACACGAATGAGTGAGCTAGTGGATGAGCTGAAGAACTTCGCTCAAGAAATTGTAGAAAAGCTCAACAGACAGCTTCCTGTCATAAACACAAAAGAGGAGCTCGACAGCCTGAGAAGACTTCATGACTTCTTCTTTGTCCGACAAAAAAATGTTTGTCTTGCAATACAGGAACTTAACGAATATTTTTTCTACCAATGGAAATGTTTAAGAACCGTTGCTCAAAGACACTTTTTCGTTCAAGAGGGAGGATTTGAAGCCCTCTTGGAGGTGTTTAAATTCTCACGCCAAATGTACCGTGCATATGGTTTCAGCGTGTAAGTACCACAGCGTTATTTTGCCGGGTGTATGACATATGCAGACTTCAGACGTTTTAATTAACATCGTATTCCCAATACTTAGCGCTAATTGTAGACCGGGTTACCTGCGCATTATTCAGGCCCTCCGATCCTGAACGATATTAGACTAACTGGAGCGCTGTTTAGACCTCAATGTAGTCTGTAGACTCTGTAATCTGCAATCTAGTGTTATACACCGGTTACTTTATGATCTTTGCAAATGATGCTGAGCTATGCTGCAATTGAGACTAGCACCGTGGGGGGGGGGGATGCACTGTCATGGTCTGTCATGGTCTTAGCAAAAACAAACTTGCATTCTGAAACAAAGTTGTTGATTTCACAACAAGGTTGCAAGAAGTTAAGATTTGAGTTCCTCTCTCTGATCGATTTATCACACCTCCAAAAAGGAAGTAAGCCCAACTAATGATAATGTACACCAATCCATCCAATCCATCCATCCATCCAGATTTTACGTAAACCAAATTTTAATATTGTTGTATATTTTAATTTGATAAAATGCCGTATTTAAATAAAGGGTTCCATCCATCCATCCATCCAGACAGACAGACAGACGGACAGATCGACATACAGACAGACAGACAGATAGACACAGACACATACATACACCAACTTTATTTACTGAAACCTATCCACGGACTTTTCGATGTAAATGTGCTTAACTATTTGCAGTTCACAAGGGAAATACGAACACAGAACAGTCATGTATTCAAATTCCAGGCGCCCTTTAGCTGCAAATACCTTTTTAAATTTTCCTTTTTGTTGAAACCTTCCATAGCCTGCGAACGCAGACGTATTTCCGGCTGTCACTTGGTTCCGCCGAAAAATAACGTCTGCGAACCCGAGCCAGAAAACGATTTCTGTGACGTAGGAATTCTAAGCCAATCACAGTTTAGCTCAAATAATCCCAGAACTACTGCGCGAGGTATTCGCTGCGAGGAGCACTCGAGTTTCGTTCTATCACGGAATCTGATTGGCCAAGGAGAAACAAAAGTCATTACGTCACAGAAATCGTTTCCTGGTTCGGGTTCGCAGACGTTATTTTTCGGCGGAACCAAGTGACAGCCGGAAATACGTCTGCGTTCGCAGGCTAAACCTTCCAGGGAGAAGAATTGAACCAACTCCCAACTGATGAAACTACATCTCCATCGATGGCGACGTGAAAAAAAGTTACTGCTTTTGCGAACTAATTTATCCTGCTTTTTTACTTGTACAACATTCCAGTATTTTTTCCTCTTCACACACAATTAGCGTGATGCCTCACTGGCTTCACGAACTTAATAAAAGTAAAGGTAAAAAGTGAACTAAGGTAAATTCATTAAGTCTTGCATGCAGTGAATAATCTGCCTAATGGTATATAAATTTTATATGCGATGATTATAGGTCGGCGAACACGGCTGCCATAGTATTGGCTTTTCCCGTTTTAGTGCTTGTCTTTTTAAACAAGCATTGACACAGCAAAAATCCTACATAATCCTTCTGTCTTTCTGAGAATTTACCCTGAAAACGAATACCGGATACTGTAAAGGTGTGGGCTGCTCCAAGTACAATACGGCTGGCAAGCTGTTCAGTAAAGTATATGAGCTAAATTATTTGAGAAAACGATTTGTAAGGAAATTCAACAAATAAAAAGAACGATCATAAGATCCCTATTAATGCTAAGCGAACAGTTAAAAAGTGAAATTGTGATCAGGAAAAGGGTAAATGCAGACATCACCGCCGGCCAACGAACTCCGATGTATTTGGCAGTGTTCTATATACTTCTGCAACTCAATAATAAACCACTCTGCGCAACAAAATGTTTTTTTTTTTTTTCTTTTTTTTTTTTTACCCATAGATGAAAATTCAGTGGATACTACCATGGTTCCAGATCGACACAAACACCTCTTCAATCAATGGCAACTCGTTCTTCAGACATGCTGTCAGTACTTTTTGTGGGTCTTTGGTGAGACACGTCAGGATCAGAAGTTTCTTTTGTCAAAGGATGTGTTTCCACTGGCAGTTGATTCCCTCTTGCTGCAGCCCCCTCTCCTTGAAGAAACTGGCCATAATGACGTACATAGAAGGATTGTTGCAATAAATGAAACAGCTCTCGGACCCTTTGGAGCGTGAGTAAACGCGGAAAGTGATGTTTGCATGTGTTTATTGAGGCATAAAGATCAGAAATTCAAATTGTCCAGTTTTAGTTCAGTGGTCCGTATCCGTCAAGTTCTGGTTTTGCGTGTATTGACCAATTTATTCGACGTCATATATACCAACAAGAGTGAACCAGAAGGTGACTAACATCCTATCAACTCTTTTAGTTAATACACTGACTGACAATCAAACTACTACAAGCTTGTTGAAACTGCTTGATGCTCGATAGACACTTGCATACCAATGCTGATATAAACTCTCACCATTGTCCACTTTAAGCCTTTCCATTCTTTGATTCCTTCTTCTGTTTCTTTTCTCGATCCGTAGATTGGTGGAGTATGATCCCAACATCCAGGAGGAAGTTTCCAAAATGTCCCGATTGATCGACAAGTTACTCTTTATGATCGACAGGTGCCAGTCAGAGCCTGCGGGATATTCACTGTTTTCAAGCCAGATGGCCTCCACAATTTTGTTTTACAGCACTTGGAATGTCAAATCTGCCCAGCCATTGGTGGACTGTGGAGCACTAGAAAAAATGCTTGATATCACACAGAAGCTTCTGATTGATAAGGACAGCGACGCACCTCTTAGGTGGGAGATGTTTTCTAGAACAGTTAGAGACCGGCTAGCGCCTACTGTGAAACGTTTTCCTTTTAAAAGACTGGGGTGGGAAAGCGCAACAGAGATTATCTGGGATCACTGGCTAGTAGATAGTTATGCGTCTCGGCATTAACCCATTGTGTTTATGTCTGTTTATCAGGTACTACTGTTGCCTGTTCCTGGCTAGACTGCGTTCAGCCCCTTTGATCAAGCTGGACAGAGACACTTGTGCTGCTATAGATGAACTTATTGATGTATTCTTAGAACAGCATGTCTTCAACGAGATCTCAAAATGGGAAGAAAAGGTATGTTCTATTTGGATGACAATGGTACCACTGGTTCATCTTGCCTTTGCTGCAGGAAACGAATATTACTTTGCTCAGATTAAATTCTTAGAGTGCGATACAACACAAAGTGAAGACGTATACTTTCTCAAGAGCAAACAATCAAATGCTGCTATAACTGAGTTCGATAAAGATGAAGCTGAAACTTCACGTTCTGACGACAACAGAGAAGAAAAACCTATTCATCAAACAAGTTGGAAACGTAAAACGATTAAAAGTCCCACCCTTTATGGCACATCTGAAAGTATGGAAGCTGAAACTTCAGTGACTGGAGGCAAAACCCATGTCACGTTAGCCAGGAAAGACCAATTCACATGGCCAGGTTCTCCATCAACACAAAAACTTGGAATCTTTTCCCTGATGAACATGCTTTCACTCAAAGAGAACCAGCAGTTGGCGCTAGCAGAGAATCTCCTGCCATACTTGTTGTGTCTGTCATGGCACCTAAAGGACGATGAACGAGAAAAAATACGAACAAGTCTGGCAAATTTTCAAAACATTTCTTCACCTCCTTCTTTGAAAGTTGCCACCAAATCCGTGCTGGCTCTGGTCAATGGTTTAGACATGGTTTTCAATTTATGAACTGTGAGAAGTCAATGTTCACCCGTATTGGTCAATATCTTTGGTGGAAATAGATACATGTTTTTCTCAAACCTCGACGTTTCTCATGACTTTGCCACAGGAAACAGGAGCTTGAGCAACCAGACCCATGCAGGCACGTGCGTACCTCCGAAAACCCAGGCAAAAATTTAGATATTTAAATTTTATCGACAAAAAGCGGCTTAAGTAATTAAATCGGCTTGTTTGAAAGTCTCTAGTCTGAGCTATTAACCTACTAGCCGTGATCCGAAAGGTTGACTGTAATCAACATAAGTTATTTCTTTCGCGCATTTCTTTTTTCTACAAAGTAGGTCCTATGAATAAAGAATTAGTTGCCAGAAAATCTCCCAAGTACGACGGATTTTTTTTTCCTTTTCTTTTGAATAATGTCCTTAAACCGTCTGAACCGTTTCCTAAGAAGATGTGCCCTCCAGTCCATCGGATGTCAAAAATCCCATTTGAGGCATTTGACGGTCATGTCAGCAGTGCTTTGTCATCGGTTCACAAGCCAAGCCTTTGATCTTTCAGTATATAAGCGCGATACCACCTCTCTTAAACACCCTTGCAATATTCAGTAGTAAAGATCTTCAAACAATAACACATGGATATCATATGGATATATATGGGAAAAGTGCGCCCGCTCGCGGAAACAGTTTGATTGCAGGATTTGTTGAATTCCCCCCGCTCACCCACTAAAAACAATTATACCTAATTGTTATACCTAATTTCTGTCAAGTTTTAACATACCATACCCTTTTTCACACCAAACTGGTCAAAATCTGTAGCCGTTTTCAGGCCAAAACGGTTCAAAACCGAAACTGTTTGAGTCCTCCACAACTGAAGCCCCATACACCAATCTAGCCTTCCCCCCTCCATTCAACGCGACATCCCAGCACGACTTCATCTTTCGTTTTGTAATTGTTGTAAAGTATTACCTCAAAATCCAGTCATTGTTAACGATTGATAGCGTGGCTAGAGCGATTTATAGCAGATTTCAGTTGGGCTGAAAGAAATTCACCCTTTGCTCAGTCAGCCGAAGGGTCGTAAACATTTTTTTGTGGTAATTTCGCTGACCAGTATATTTCGCTAGAGAGACGTCATTTGCCTGACCACTGCAATCAAAATGGCTGCATTTCTTTCGCGCATTTCTTTCTGCATTTCTTTCTTCATTCTTTCGCATTAGGAGTGGAAAGAGTGCTCCCAAATTACTTTTAATTCGTGGAGTTTTTCAGTGCAATGAATGAATGAACATGTTTGAAACTAGACGCTTTGCTACGTGTACCCAGGAAGTCGTTATACTGAGAAACACTAGCTATATTGCAATTGAGCCGGTCACCCCAAAACGCAGACCTTGCAGACTGCAGACTACAGACTGCAGACCGTGCAGACCATGCAGACTGTGCAGATTGTGTAGACTGAGTACTTTTTTTCTAACACTTGACTCACTTTTTTCGCTTCTAGTGACTAATGCCCTAATGTTTGTTTTCTAATGTTTTTTTTTTTTTTGATTTTCTTAGTCTTCGTTGTCCTCTTAACTGATTCATAAAACAAAGCGAGAACGGTGACTCAAAGCGACCTTGTCCCACAAATCGCTTTTGCTACACAAAGTACAGACTAGGAGTATTCCCTCTTTCACTTAGTTGAAAATGACCTTAAGTAAGCCTCGAGGGAAAAATGCTTGCATGAAATTTTCTCGAGCTTTTCTTATGCGTCACGCATAATGGACTAAGCGAAAGAGCGACCACTCGCAGTCTAAATCGCCATAAAAACAAAGCTGCCATACGGATAGATAAATTAACCATCGCATCAACTTATTACAGCAACCGTACTGCGCTGAGAATTTCAAATGCGATTCGGTTTTCTGTGATCTTTCCATGCGCTAGGCTTTTTTGGCGTGATCGCAGTCATACTCCAACAGCCATTTGGAATTACATTTTGTATACCAAGAGTAGAAAATGTACATGTTACGTGTGACATTACATCACAAGTGAAGTTTTTCTACATTTTAAAATAGCTTTACTTACGCATATTTAGGACTAAAGGGAGTTTCCCTTGCAAAATCTATAACACATCAACAGTCACATACCACCGAGTTTGCACGGCCTGTGGATAACAAACACTCCGATATATAATTGAACAGAACCAAAAAATATGCGAGTCAAAAGTAAATGCAAAAAACAAGAATAAGAAAAAAAACATACTCAGTCTGCACAGTCTGCATGGTTTGCACGGTCTGCGGTCTGCAGTCTGCAGTGTGCATGGTCTGCGTTGTGGGGTGACCGCAATTCAGCTAAATGTTCTGCATTTGAAGTTGTACGAAATTCAATCGAATGAAAAGAGTCAAGGTCTTTATATCAGCCTATAAACGTTTCAGTCTATTTTCCTAAGCCTTTGTCGTTGTTATTTGCGTTTCTCAAGCAAGCGAGACATTTTGAATTTCCGAGTTCTGGCGGTGCGTGACATAGACCTAGGAACGCGTTTGTCGAAAAACATTTACTTATCTCGTGATTTTTAGCCCAATCAGAAGTTAAAGTACTGGAAAAAGTGCTTATGTAAATGCTTGTTTGCTCAGTACAGATAATCAGTCGCCTAGATAGCTACCAGATGTTTACACTATTTTCCGGCCGCAATGTTGGCGTACCGCCGAGGTACTGGTCTCTGTAACTTTGTGCAAAATATTTCGACGAATATCTGAACTGACTTGGGAAAACGCACAGACTTAAAAATTAGCGAAGTGTCATCTTTATTAATCTCCTATAACATCCCAATTTCTTGATTTAATCCACTAAATGGTTTTC